TCCGATTGTTGGAGAACGAGGAGTTCTCACTGATCCATAGGAGATAGATGAATTCAAAAGGTCGAGAGTTGGTGCAGGAGCACGCAATCTATGAGGGTTTTGGTAATTTCAATCGAAGGTCACAAAGTACTAGAATTAGTCGAGTCGACATTATTGTAAGTTGATTCGTTTATAGATGATTTTTACTGGTTTGGGCCCGGAGTTTTTACCCAATTACAGATTTTTTCCGTCAACAATTTTCAAATGTTATTTACTTTTCAGTAATTTATTATTTGAGGCAATTTAATATAGGATAGTAGTGCATGTGAATTTATCTAGATTAATTAATAAATGTGACTTGTTGCATTTATTAATTGATAAATTTAAATTCCGCATAAACACCTATTCATCCCCCTCTATATGTTAGTTAGGTCGAACTTCATTATTTCAAGTGGTATCAGAGACTAATTTCGATTCCTGACCCATATTTAATCTAAATGAGTCAGTTTCTTTTCGCGTCTTCGATTTTTGATAGAAGCAATTATGTATATTGAAAGATAGGATGAGAGCATTCCTATAGATGAGCGGATTTGGGTTAGTGTAAATGGTTGGATCGTCACTTCCTCTATTGTTTCATATGTAGTTACCTTACGGACATTTCTCTCTCGACTAAGGATGAACTACTCAAGTGCAACTGGAATAGTAATGGGCTTTATGCCTTGTTCATGACGGTGTCTGTTGAAGAGTTTAGAAAAGTGTCGATGTGTGAAACCACGGAAGAAGTTTAGGATATTTTAAATATCACACACGAGAGAACCAAAACCGTTAAGAACTCCAAGCTGCAGATGTTAACCACTAGGTTCAAAAAAATTAAAATGTAGGACGATGAATCATTTGATAAATTCTATGCGAAATTGAATGACATAGTTAACTCTAATTTCAATTTAGGTGAAAAAAATCCTTGAGTCTAAAATAGTTTGAAAAGTCCTTATTACCTGAGAGGTTTAGACCCAAGATTACTACAATTGAAGAGAGCAATGCCTTAGATACAATGAAGATAGATGAGCTTGTAGGATCCCTTCAAACTTATGAACTCACCATATCTCAACCTAAGAAAAACAAGTCTATAGCTTTAAACGTTGTTAGGGAAGAAAAGTATTATTCATCTGATTTGGAATCACTTAGTAATGTGAAAATAGTCTACTTTGTTAAGAATTTACAAAAAAATGTTTAGAAATAAAAAAAATTACTAGAGAGAAACATGGAGGTGATTCCAGTGAGTCGAGAAAGGAATCTAAATTTGTGAGATGTCATAAGTGTCAAAGTTTTGGCCACTATAGAAGTGAGTGTACTAATGGTAAATTTGCCAACAATCAAATGCGTTTTTAGAAATTTTAAAATAAACCTTCAAAATAGAAAACAAAAAATGATCTCAAAAGTTAAAACCGAAAATCAAAACACAAACCAAATGGGACCTTAGAGTTTGCAAAATTTTGAAATTGAAGAATAAGATTCTTGACACAAATTGTTAAGATTTAAAACTCGATTATGAATTCTATTATCTTTTATTATTTTTCTTTCGTTAGTATGAATAGCTAGATCATTAGTTAATTATTACGTGTGACCATTTTATTTAATTTTACAAGATTCTAGTAGTTAAAATTAATTCTTTGAATTATTTGGCCTATAATTCGATGATTTTGTGGATCTATAACAAATCGAGAGATAGATTATAGATTTAAACCATATAATAAATTTTGATAATTAGTTTAAAAGTGTAAAGATATATTTTTTAGTTAGTACGGTCATTACATGGATTCTTAGAGATTTAAAACATTTAATTAAGATGTATGCGAATTTACATAGAGATATGAAATTTATTTAGTTAAATATCAATTTGAATTCGAGAGACGTAAATTAAACATATTAAAAGAATTCGACTAAACACCACAACAGTCATGAATCTTGATTGTGAATTAAATGAGATCGATAGACGAATTTGTAAGTCTTAGTAGCCACATTCACACTTTAAAACCCAAATTTAATAATTTGTGAACGTTGGATAAATTTAGTTTAGTTAGAATAATTTATATAACTAATCACAAAATTATATTCTTCGTTCTTCGTCAAATAGGAATTAGAAATAAAATTACAGTACTCGTAGGAACTATCATCGAACTTTTAGCTCAATTTTATTACTTGTTATGATCTATATATTTGTAGAACTTAAAATCCACCACAACAACCTTGAAGGAGTCCCGCATCCGCACCTCTTAATTGCTTCGTGATGTATGCCATTACTTGATACCAATGGTGTCCTTTTGTCTCAAGCTGTTTTTTGATTGTTGTAATTCGATTTTCTTAGATGAGTTTTACCACTTATGCAGCTTACTGGAAAATATGTGACAGGAATCTACATATAGATTCAACGTTTCTTTGATTGGAGAAATCTCACAAAAGTATATACTCATACATATCCTATAAATTAATTTGAAATGATCAATTAATTAATGGATAAATTTATGGCGAGTCTCAATATTTGAATTAAAATAATTATTTTTCAATGAATTGATGTACTATGTCACTGGTGCTTAATATAACTAAGAATATGTGTTTAATATATCATTTATTTATATATATAGAGAGAAAGAGATATAAATGATCAAATGAGCATATGTGACATATTAATTTATTGGCGGATAATAAATTCAATTCAAAATTTGAGATTTATTGACCAATAAATTGATATTACATGTTACCTATGGTAGTATAAGAGAGTACCGGTACTTACTCGATCATTTCTCTCTCTATATGTGATGTATTAAGTATCGTTATTTAGCTTATGCTAGATAACGATAACATAATACATGAATTAATTGATGGATAAATGGTAGGTTACGAATATATATTCTGAATTTTTTGTCGCTACTGCAGTTTAGAATTTTGTTTTTCGATAAAATAAAATATGAACTTCTTCCGGCAAGATAAATCTAATGACATAAAGAAATCTTTATGTTCTGAATAATTTAGAAGCCTGCTGATCGCATTATATGTTGAACTTCAAAGTTATTAATTTGAAATTGTTTCTAAATATTTAATAATTATATATTAAAGTAATGGATTAACCCAATCTCACATAATGTGCGGGGCCTGCGTGTATTTAAAAATCTCGACAATATGGTCTCCATCTCCATTGTTTTCAGTAAAAAAAATTCGGTACATGTAGCATGATCCACTTCACTATAGGGTACTGTTGATTAATTTCTAGACTATAGAATGAGCTAAGCATTACTTTTATCAAATTTTGTATTTCAAATTGTCACCAAACTCGTCTCATTATGTTCTATAAGTTTAAATGGTTAGAGAATTCGTGGTGATATTTCCTACTAGAAGTCTGTGTTTTAATTTCAAAAGGAAAAAAAAAATATTTAAATATACATGAATATAGAACTAATGACTCGTCGAACTATTCGTCTAAAAATTTAATATGAGAGAGACACCTGACTAATTTACTTAAATGTAGTTTTCAATAAATAATTTAATAGTAATTATTTAGAATAACAATAATTAAATTGAAGACATGATAGATATCTTAAAAGTCGGTTCTAAATTAAATCTCATCCTAAGAAAGCAACTCATATGGAATCCGCCGACGGAAGAAGACAAAAGAAGGGGTTAATCTCAGTACACCGTTTCGCACACC